AAGAAAAACAGCCCTTAAAAACAGTTTTAAATCTTCAACTAACTTGAGACTAAAAGATGGTGGGGCTTGACCCCCCCCCCACCCCATTTGTCTGTAGCTCCACTGGAATGCCCAAGATGGGTGGGAGATTTTTTAAAAATGGAATTTTATAGGTGCAATTACGAACATTTACAACAAAAACAAAAGATAGCAGACAACAGAAGAAACCAGTGCGGCTCCACCAAAAACTTTGAGTTGAGCTAAAAATGAAAAAGAACATGTATAGGAAGTGTAAGGAAGGTCACATGATAAAAGAAGGATACGGACAGGTGGCACAGAAGTGCAGGAATGACGGAAGCTGAGAATGAACTGAGGCTATCAAAACCAAAAAATGAACAAAAAGACCTTTTCCTGGTATGTTCACAGCAAACAACAGAGAAAAGAAACCCTGGCTCAGTTTCTCAAGGAGTAGAGCAAATTAGTAACAGTTGATGAAGAAAAAGCCAAAATGCTCAATGTCTACTTCTCCCAGAAGCAGGTCTATGACTCCCCTGGCAGAAAAGAAGTACAAACAGAAGGGTCAGGGCTGAAGCTTGAGATTAACAGAAAAATGCTCAAGGAAAAGCTAATTTCTTTGAATGAGTTCTAATCTTCATGGCTTGATGAGCTGCCACCCAGAGTAATAAAGGAATTGGCAGAAGAACTCTCAGAACCACTGTCTATTACCTTTGAGAAATCATGGAGGAGAGAGGGGAAGTGCCAGATGGCTGGAGAAGGGCTAATGTTGCCCCTGTGTAGGGCAAAAGGGAGGATCCTGGGAACTACAGACCAGCTAGCCTGACATCAGTCCCTGGGAAAATGCTGGAGCAGATAATATAGAAGTCAGCCTGCTAGCACCTTGAAGACAATGGAGTAATTACTCAAAGCCAGCACGGATTTATCAAGAACGAGACTCGCCAGACTGATCTGATCTCATTTTTCGAACAGGTAACCTTCTCTGTGGACTGTGGGAATGAGACGGACATAGTCATTGATTTGATTTCAGCAAAGCTTTTGACAAAGTGCCCCATGACATCCCGATTAGCAAACTGGTTAAAAGTGGGCTTGATGGAACAACTGTCAGGTGGATCCCCAGTTGGCTACAGAGAGCGCTTCCCAATGGCAACTTCTCAGAATGCGGATTGTGATGAGTGCGGTGCTGTAGGGCTCAGTCCTGGGCTCGGTCTTCTTTGTCGTTTTTATTAATGACATGGAGGAAGAGGAGCAGGGAATGCTAATCAGATTTTGAGAAGTCAAAAATGTATTTTTGGGGGTAGCTATTTAGCATTCTATCGACAGGCACGAGAAGGTAAAAAATGCAACATAAACTTCTTTCAAGAAGGTCAGAACTTGCATAGATAAACCTGGAGGCAAATGTTTTGACACTAGATGTCTGATAAAGAAGTGTATGTCAAGATAATCACATACAAAAGTAACTGAATGTTTTCTGCTATGATGCTTTTTGATATTAATCATTGCAAAAAGCCAAATGTATAAATTTGCTGAGCATTATGGTGGTGGCAGCTGGTCCCAACTGGAGAAGGGCTCACTCTACATTTTTAGTGTGCACCAATAATAAAGAATTTTTTAAATATAAAATTACTATTGCACAGTCAGACAATGAACAAGCAGAACTTTTTTTGTCCTAAACAGAAGGATCTTGGATTTGTTGCAGATCACAGGTTGAATACGAGTCAACAAAGTGATGTGGCTACAAAAAAAGCTAATGTTATTTCCAGTTGCATTAATAGAAATATAGTTCTTTGTAGTCTCTCTGCATTACACAGTTGGGCTTTGCCTATGGTTGGGAAGCTTCGTTAGTAGTTCCCATCTCAGGTAGTGTGTCCAGTTCTCTGTGCCCTCAGAGAAAGAAAAGCTTCAAGAAAGATGCAGACAAACTGGAAAAAAATCAGAGGAGGGCAACAGGGGTGATCCAGGGACTGGAAACAAAGCCCTGTCAGGAGAGATGGAAAATGCTGGGCATGCTTAGCTTCAAGAAGAGAAGATTGAGGGGAGATATGATAGTATTTTTTGAATACTTGAAAGGTTATTACACAGAAGAAAGTCAGGAACTCTTCTTGGTTATCCCAGTGTGCAGAACATGGAATAATAGGCTTAATTTGCAGGAAGCCAGATTCTGGTTAGATATCGGGAAATGTTTCCTCACTGTCAGAGCAATATGACAGTGCAACCAGTTGCCTAAACCGGTTGTGGGATCTCCCACATATCTGTCACGGATGCTTTGGCTTGGAGTCCTGCATTGGTCAGGCACAATGGCCTCATGAGCCCCTTCCAAATCTACTGTTCTATGATTCTATTGAAAACCCATGCTTTGTTCTTAGATAACGAACTGTGAGCAGTTCATCATGTTTTGTTATTTCGGCAGGGCTCAGACAACACGATAACCATGTTTCAACAGTCCCCTTTGAACTGATACAAACCCTGGTTAGCACGTTGTCTGAGCCCAGTTTTGAAGACCTGGTTCAGATGCAGCTTCACTGTGGGTTAATTAACTGTGAACAGGATGCCACAGGTGGCCCTTGTATAACCCATGATCTGTTTTAGGGTTATGTGAGAGTCTTGAAAGTCTCAAATAACAGATCACCCAGGTTTGGATGACATATTTATAATTGCAGCCAACATGTGCTGCAGCTCCTCATGGGTAAATTCACCATGATGGAATGTCCTATCCTGTGAACTGGTCCAGTTTCTCATGATGCCAGGCGCCTGCTGAGACTCGGTCATCATAGTCGGCCAAATCATAGCACAGACATTATCGTACCCCCAGTCAGAATGTGCGGGTGTGAAAGATGGACAGTGATGAAAGCAGACAGGAAGAAAACAGCACACTTTTGAAACGTGGTGCTGGAGGAGAGCTTTGCAAATACGCTGGATGGATATAAAGATGAACAAATGGGTCCTGGATCAGATCAAGATGGAATGTTCCTTGGCATGAGAAGCAACAAAATTGAAGTCACTGTACTTCAAGCATATCATGAGAAAGCAAGACTCACTGAAGATTCATCATAATAGGGAAAGTTGAAGTCAAAAGAAAAAGAGGAAGACCAAATATGAGATGGATCAGTTTCACAAAGGAAGCCACAGGCTCAAGTTTACAAGTGCTGAGCGGGGCAGTCAAGGTCAAAATATTTTGGAGGGCATCCATGCCCTAAGTCAGAGGTGGCTTGATGATACATAACAACAGTAGCAACGATCTCAGCAACAGCAACACCTCTCTCGTCCATCAGTCAGTTGTAGCTTTTGATTATTAATTTGGAAGCAATCCCAACTGGTGCCCACCAATGGAAGGAAACTCCCTTTGGACAGAACTACTGACAACCTAGTTCCCTTCATGGAGGTGAAGGTATTTATGGCTAATCTGACATGCATTTTATAATATAACGAAATATCCCTACTACGTAATATCAGCAACTAAAATCAGAATCGTGGCTAGGAAGGAGGGAATAGGTGTGTTACCTGGAGCTGGTGGTAGTGCCCTCAAGCAGTTTTGCGAGCTGCGCAGACAGTGGGTTGAAGAAAGCTGCCATATTGAAGGTAGGTTGGTAAAGTTCACTCAGGCACATCATGGTGTTGGGATCACAGCAAAACACCTTGTTCTGGACTGTCACCACATAGGGAATGAAGGTGTAGCAGCTGTTGCAGTCCTAAAAGGGAGGCAGGGGAATTAGTGGCTAAACCGTTCCTCCTTTCCATAAGCTGGCCCCTTCCCTTCTCCCTCTGCTTCCAGAACTCTGGACAATCCTTTGAAAAGGCAGTTCTTTTATTGAGACTCCACAAATACAGAACAGTTTAAGCTCTAAATAGCCTTCTACAAAAGCTGGAAAAGAGAAGTCGATGCCTATGGAAAGACTTGGATCCAAACTGGAAACTTTCCCACAATCCCTCCCTTCCAGGGAAGCTTCTGCCTCCACCCTCTCAGGGAGGGCAAAATGCCAGAGACCTCGTAATTGGGCAGCTCTCTTCTCCCAAGCTCACTGAAATTGTGAAAGGTTTTGCATACCTTGGCTCAGTTGTCCATTCAAAGGGAAACTGAAGTAAAAAATTAAAACAGGACTGAAATTTGGAAGAGCAGCAACGAAAGGATTTTGTCAACTATACGGTAAGACAAGATCATCCACACTATTATATTCCCAATCAGTATGCGTGGGTGTGAAAGGTGAAGAAAGCAGACAGGAAGAAAACAGCACACTTTTGAAACGTGGTACCGGAGGAGAACTTTGCAAATACCCTGGATGGTTACAAAGATGAACAATTGGGTCCTAGATCAAATCAAGCCAGAACTTTCTCTGGCATGAGAAATGACAATATTGAAGCGGTTGTACTTTGAGCATATCATGAGAAAGCAGGACTTACTGGAGAACACCATCATGCTAGGGAAAGTCGAAGACAGAAGGAGTGGAGGAAGACTAACTCTGGGATGGATCCATTCCATCAAGAAGCCACAGGCTTGAGTTTGCAAGAGCAGAGCAGGGCTGTCAAGGAAAGGCCATTTTGGAGGGCTTTCATTCATAGGTCAGTTCTCATTTGGGGATGACTTGATGGTAAGTAACAACAATAACCATGTTCTAAGCAACAGCAACACCTCTCTTGTCCTTCAGTCACTTGGACCACCCAGAGAGTTTTGGCTCTTGGACATTTTGCCCATCCTAAATAACCGCAGCTCCATTGTTTGTTAAATTAAACAATGGCAACTTTTGGAAAATTCAGCTCCCTGGACCAGTTGCATTCTGTCAAGTAAATTATAGATCTAATATAGTGAAAGTCAGAATTGCAGTGGAATTACTGCAACAGTGGAATTACTGTTTTTTTCTAGGAAAGTATTTCCCTAGAAAAGAGAAAGAGAGCTTTATATTGTTAGGTGGTCGGATATGAAACAGGAAAGGGCTTTGATAACACCCTTGAAAAATGCCTTCTTCTACACTGACAATAACCCTGTTTTCTTTTGAATCCAGTCACCCGTAATTAATAGCTACCAGGAAAGGGTGACCAGTAGAACAGTAAAAATGGAATGTCTTCCAGTCTAACACAGAATATCAAGTGTAATTCATTAAGTCTTAGTTGATGCTCCACTGGGACCTTTCTTGACCAAATGAATTGCTACCAAGGGTGGGGAGACTTCAAACTTGTGAGTGCTGCTTTTTATCAGAAGCTTCAGACAACCCTGCTGGAGCCTGAAGCAAAAGAAAGATACTCCATAGCTAAAAATTCTGAGCCTGCAAATGTGTTTTGAGTAGCAGAACTGAGCTGAGCTCACAATTCTAAACAAAACTCTCTTAAAAACTGTTTTCAGGATCACTGTGCTCTGGAATGTGGGTCATCGTAACCTACCTGACTCACACAGTTCTGTAAACTGCAGGCCATCAGTCTCGTATTTTGTGCTATGCAAAAACAAAGGCAGGCACGCAGAACATAAAAAAAATCCAAAATCCACACAATGTAATAGTTTAGTTTGGCAAATGCCAAGTTCTCAAAAAGTATGCTGCCTTCTGCTCTCTCCATGAGGCAGCACATCTTAAGATGCTGACCAGGCGAACCCCGTGAGGACAGCATCCAGTCGAGCCTCTCCATTTTTCCCAACCCCACTGCAAACCTTCTTTTAAAGCAGCTTGCTGGATAAAAAGACCTAACAAGTGCAAAAACTTATACTTCCTTTTGGTGATCTTTGCGTTGGTGTAATAAGGGAATTACATCATACAGTTTGGGGAATTATTCCCTGCTGTTAACTCTCCTCAGAAGCAGAAACGCCTTAATATGATCCCGGAAACCTCTTTTCTCCATTTCATGCAAGCAAGCACAGTATTCCAGAAAAGGAGCTAGCATTTCTTCATGCAGGGTGGCTCAGTTTCCCTTAACGTCTTGCCTCCAGATGTCTCAGATTACAACTCCCATCAATCACAGTAAGCATGGCTATCTGTCATGGATGTTGGGAGTTGTAGTCCAAAGCTTCAGGAAAGCACCCTGTCCGGGCAGGGTGGGATGACTCACTTCAGTCAGTCCCAGTCTGGCTGCTGCATTAAGACCAGCGGATGCAGATGCCTGTACAGGAGCCAGAAGATTCATGACGGCAAACGTCACCCAGGGCCACAGCACTGCTTAAGCCTCAGACTGCTTCAGACGGTTGTCAGAGTCAACGCAAAGAATACACTTTGATGTAAAGAACCATGCAGCACAGGCGTCCTTAACAAGAACCGGGTGCTACAAGAGATGTATGTACCAGGGCAATCCAGCTGGTTTGATCTTCCTAGATTTCCTCTCCCACTTCCAATCAAATAACCGGAAACAGGCAGAGGTTGTTGTGGTTTTTCCCGTGGAATTCTATCTGTAAGACAGGCTATAATTTGTATACTTTCCTCAAACTGGCGAGAAATTTTTCACAAACCAGCAGCGGGAAAGCAAGTGACTGTAATGTGGCTAGCATTATTTGCACAAAATGACACTCAGAAAACGTGTGGTAAATTTCACAAAACTATGATTTGGAGGCCCTTTTGCCAAAAGCAGCTGTCTTTTAAAATCAGAATGGCCCTGCAAAAGATACGGCACGTGAGATGATCACTAGCTATCATTCCTAGGCTAAAGCCACGTGGTTGACCAGCCTGAGCTTGGTGCAAATTCTGTTGGTGGTTTGAAAAATTGCAGTCCGTCCTAGAGACAAAAGTCCATGAACCAGCTTGACTTACACTGCAACAAGTCAGCCCCAACCTGTGGCTGGTGAATTGCAATCTAGTGGGAGCGGGTAAACTGAGGAAACCTGATCGATCGGAATCTCCCAAATCGATTCTGCATACCTCCCGCAGCTCTGCCCCACCCCCCAGGGCTTCAAAGAGCTTTTGAAATGTAGAGTTTCAAATGTTCTGCAGAAGGACTAGAACTTCTGCTGGACCAGTTTGTGGCGTGTTTGCGCAAGACGCCACTTCCCCCACCAAGATCGAGAGACATTTGCCTTGAACGCATGACTGGGGAACTTTGGGCTCACGGGGCCAGTGTGAAACCCAGCTAGCCATCCCCTCCTGCCAGTTTAAGTCTGCCACAGAAATAGAGCCTTCTCCTAAGTCGCTGTCGTGCTGCACTGAATGGCATTTAGTATCGCAGCTTAATTTTGTAGGATTCCCTCCTTGCACCTCTTCTTGAAAACCAGGGTGGTCCACTGAGGCGGTGAACTGCTGTACACTGAGGAGGTGATCTGCTGGAACTCGGGAGAGGTGGGTTCTAGTCCCCATGAGGTTCTCTGAGTGAGTTCAGGCCAGTTATTGACTCTCTTCGCCTAATATACCTCACAGGACTGCAGTGAGGAGGAGGAAGATCTTGTAAGCCACCTTGGTTTCCTTGAAGGAAGAAAGGTGGGATATAAATGCAATAGATAAATCTTCAGGTGGTTGCAAAGTGCAATCTTGTATGTTAGGCTCCCCCACCAGATGTGCAGGACTACAACTCCTATCATCCCCAGCCAATGAGATGATGGGAATTATAGTCCAAGACATCGGGGGGGGTCACTGGGTTGGGGAGCCATTTGTGAATCTGTATTTATGCGAGAGAGAATCACGTTTAATGTAACAAAGGCTTACTTCTGAGAAGACTTGCTTCGGTTTAAGGGTCAAGCCTCAGACCATACTTGCAAAGACAGCACGGGGTGGGGGTGGGGGGTTGTCCCCTGACCATGTACCTCTTCAAGCGATACTTAATCTGCATTGACAGTTCTAAGGCACGACATCAGGAACAGCTACTTATTTCGTGTAAACGAATGACGTGCACGAGGCTGCAATTATCAGAACGGCAAGATAACAGCTCATCTCTGCATCAGATGCACCACTGCCTTCCCCTCTCAGCCCTGCTGCAGCCACATAAGGTTTCCTCGTTGTGCTGAACTGACGCAGGGCAACCGTGATCCCCTTCGAGCCCTGAGCTAGGTGGATTCCGGCTCGGTGTGGGGCAGCTTCCCACGTCCTCAAAACGGCCAGCTGCCTTCACCTACTCCGGCTTTCTTGGAAAGTCGGCTAACCCCAAGCTGCACATGACAGCTTTTGATTTTCCTGTACAAGATCTGCTCTGAGAAGGGGAAGGAAGGCACAGCTTCGTCACCTTTTCCCCTCCACTGTCTTTAACGCTCAAAAATCATATGCATAACCAGGGGTGACCTTCCCATCAGGGCTCTTTCAACCAGACAGGCACCTTCTCTTTTGGGGTCAAAAGCTAAAACAGTAGGACCGAAACACAATTTCCCTCCCCCTGCTACATATTTCAACTTAGAACTCTTTCTGCCAGTAACTCATTCTTAGGAGAGACATTCCAGTCTTTCAGAATGCAGGGGAAAGGTGCAGAAAAACCAGGAAATCACCCAACACCCACTGGATAACTGGAAGTAAGGAAAAGTGGGGGGGGGGGTGGCTGCCTTTGGAACCCCAGAAGGCCGGACTGAGACCATGAGAGCCCCAGTTGCAATCTGCAGCTGGAGGTTCCTCGTTCCCCCATTACTTGCTACAAACTCTTGTCTTATCTATTATTGGCACTTGTAAATCAGCCCTCCTGACTGCACTGCCCACTAGCTTTGACTCCCACTGGTCTCCGCTTTTGAGTCCTCCACTATCCCATGCTTCCTCTTCTATATTTATCGTTCTGCTCCATTTTTCCATTCACCACTTCGCCAACTATTTTGCCTCTTCCAGAGTAGCCCAAATACACATGGGAATAAATACTGAGGCAGGCAGGGAAGGGTGGGGGAAGTGTGGTTGAAGCGCTAAGGAGATGGGTGAGAATGGAGGGACATGAAGGAAACCCAGCCGCCCATTAATCTTTTGGAGGACAGCCAAGCTGAGTTTTCTGGACACACGGGGGCGTGTGCTCCTAACAAAGAGGAGGTGGTGGGAATATGAGCCCCAAGATGGAGGTGTCAGATGAAAAGGGAAGGGCAATGAAGAGTCACATGGCGACCTTGTAGAAAGATCCCTTGGAGGGAGAGGCTCGTAGCCCAGTCAGACTGTGAAGGGCCACCCGTCGTAAGAAGTGTCTGTCTCATGATCACACTCTTTCATGATGTGCTCATCCATAAAACCAACTGAACTCTACAAAATACTGTGTTGTTCAAAGTCCGCCTGGCTTCTGGCTGCAAGAGGATGCCATGCATTTCCTGAAACAATCGTGCCTCATGCATAATTTGCATAATGAAGACATGGGGAGACACAGGACATGAGGGCTTGTCTACAAAGGGGCTGGGCACATGACATCCAGCCCACGCGTCATGGGAAATCTGGTGTGGAAACCAGATGGGATGATGGGATGGGACGGGATGTGGTCTCCGGCTGAGCCCAACGGTGCATCTGCCCAGACCTGCACCATCTCCATGGACTGGGGGCAGTTCCCTGAGGGCCCCAGAAGTGACCTGCCTCCAGCTTCTCCTAGCCCAGACTGGAGGTGCTGGCCAGGCTGCCTCAGGGGCAGGCACTGGGAGCAGGGAGCCATGCCAGACTGAGCAGCATGCGCCTCGGTTTTCCCGATGCCCCCATTGCGCTGGAGAACGCTGTCCTATCACGGCACAAAGTAACGTTTCAGCGCCAGTCCGGTGGGATTTGTGCTCTTGACTGCCAGCCTGGGCCTTAGTGGTGGCAGGCATGTGCTCTTCCCCGCTTATGAGTCCGTGTCCCAGCCTGGGTTGCCAGGCATCCCTGTTGCCAGTTCTGGCCTCAGAGTCCCCGTCGGGATGAGAGGCGGCAGGCTGTGGGCTCGGCATCATCCGGGGCAAGCAGGCTCTTTTCCCCAGCAGATGCGCCTGCCAATCCCACCCCACTGCTGCTGGAGGCAGGGCTGGCCCTGGCCACGAGGCGTTCTCCCTGCTGTGTGGGAGCCCCAACCCCTCCTGCCAAGAAAAGGAAAAGGGGGTGCTGCCAGGGGTGGTCCCACCTGGCCCACAGGTGCAGGGGTGATGCATCCTTCCGCTACAAAAACGTTATCCACCCCAGTTTAGATCAGCAAGCATTTTTCCCAGCTCCTGAATGTTTGGCAGCAGCAACAAGGCTGCCCCCGCCTTTCTATCTTAAATCAAGCTGCTGAAGCAAAAAGAACTTGGGAGGAGAACCAGGAGCAGAGTCTTCTGCAAGAGGAGTACGCATTCAGTTCAGAACTAGTACAAACAAAGTCACAAGCTGAACATATGCCTTGTTTTTTAATTCAACTTATTCCGCCTTTCCAACCCAACCACACAGCACTATTTTGCACCTGACTCCAGTTAGCGGACCTTAGATTTATTAAATCCACACTTCTGAAGACCGCCCATCCCTGCCCTGGAGAACAGTGCTCATTCCAGGTTCTTGAGGACCCTTGGACAGGACACTGCCAAAGGCCCCCTCTCTCAGTGAAGCGGCCTTCTCCTCGCCCCTGTCACCAGCTGCAGTGGGGAAGGAGGGAAGAAAACCCAGGTGGTTGTTGGTGGTAGGCCCCTCCTCCAACGCGGGCCCCTGGCAGATGCCTGAGCAAGGCTACCCTGAACATCAGCCCTGCTAGATGTGTCCAGCTGATCCGGTCTGGGCCCCCGGTGGCTCTCCAAAGATCCCCGCAGACCAGCACTCCTGTGGAACTGCGCATCCCATCTGCACTCACCCGGATGGCCTGCAGCTCCGGGAGATCCGAATAACAGCAGAGGAGGATGTTGTTGGTCATGCTGAAGCTCTCGCGCACTCCCAGGTGGTAGAAGAGCGAGGGCTGGCACAGGGTGTGGCTCATCTCCACCACCACGACATCTGCAAGCAGGAGGTCACAGAAACCATCATAAGCCACCGAGAGCAAATAGCCCACCTCTCGTTTTGTCCCAGCCTTGTCCATCGGCTCCCATCTCCTGCGCAATAGCGAGCTGGCAAGGACCAGATCTCCAGGGCAAGGTGTGTTTGCAAGACCACTGGCTGCTCCGGAGCACAGAGGCGGCCACGGCCTTTCAGTCCACAGGGTGTATCCACAGAGGTTTAAGACAGCAGGGGATGGGGGTGAGGGCCAACGGAGGCCACATCCAAAGCCGGTGGGACCCAAAATGCCGGTCAAGCTTAGCTTGGAGCTCTTCCTGTCAATAGCCAAACCCCAGGAGAGGCATTACAGCCTTACAGAAGACGAGAAAACAGGCAAGAACAGCGAGACCAACAGCAGTTGGTGATTGAAGAGAGGGGTTGCAGCTGACCTGTGAAACTCACAGGTGGGTCGGCTTTGGCTTCAGGTCCTGGGGTCCGACTCACCTTGCTCCAGTAAAATGGAAAAGGGCACCCTCGGCCTTCTGCATCACCGACAATGAAACTCTTGGCTGTTCGAAAGGCCACGTCTCCCTGCCCGAATGCCCTCAGTAACATGAATCACCACCCACTAATAGGGGCAGCTCCATACACTGGTGGGCCCTTGACACTGAGATGCCAAAGGACCCGCCCGCTGCTGGACCCACGGCTGCCGCTGACACCCCGTCCTGCGCTGCAGTTGGTCACTCGGCCCCATGCAGGGATGAACCAGGTGTACCTTCTATGCAGGTGACAAGTTTGGAACGGGAGCTGTGGAAGCACTTGGTGCTGGCTGGCCTGCTCGCAGAGTCCCCAAAATGCAACGCTCAACCAACACACGTCAGGAATTACAGCTTGGATTATCTAATGGAATCGACGATTGGCACAGAGAGGAGTGGAGCGCTGGCTCAGCCCAGCTTCCCCGGCTAGAGGGGGTCCTGACCGAAGAAGCTTCCCATGGGCTTCCTCTTCCTCCAGGGGCTACTGGTTGGCTTTCCTCAAGGCTTCAGAGTGCCTTATGTGGTCCACAGACTGCTGGGTGTGCACTTAATATGTATAGAATAATGAACAGAGCATTGATTTAATGAATTTATATCCTACCTTTCTGCAAAGAGTTGTAGGCAAAGCAACTTAATAAAAATGGCATGAAAACAAAATTTGATTGATTTATTATTTGACTTATATGCTGCACCACTTGGCCAGAAGGCTCTCTGGGCAGATCACAATATGTTAAACGGCAATAATTAAAATAGTATGTTTAACAATACATTTAAGTTGGCGAAGTACTCAGGTGATCTGGGTTCTAGTCCCCGCTCGGCCATGGAGCCAACTGGGTGACTTCGGGCCAGTCACAGACTCTCAGCCCAACCTACCTCACAGGGTTGCTGTGGTGGGGATAAGATTGAGAGAAGCAGGAGGGGAATGATATAAGCTGCTTTGAGTTCTTCAAAAGAACAAAAGCAGGATATAAATGTAATAAATAAATGACCCTACATAGTAGTTTGACAAATTTGGGTGGCAAACCACAGATTTAAAAAAGCAAATTACTTTTATTTGAGTAATGCAGCAGGAGGGTCTGGATGGGGTACTGAGAAATAGTCCAATTGCCCATCAATCAAGTAGTCCCCCCCCCCGTTCAAATGGCTGCCCACTGCATCTTTAATGCCTCTAGGGTGGGAGAGCCCACAACCTCCCTAGCTCATGGGGTCCACTGTTGAACTGCCCTTGCATTCAGGACATTTTTCCTGCTATCTAGCCAGAATCTGGCTCCCTGTAACTTAAGCCTGTTATTTCATGTCCTTCGCTCTGGGATGATCAGAAAGAGATCCTGTCCTTCCTCTTTGTGACAGCCTTTCAAGCACTTGTAGAGTGCTATCGTATTTCCCCTCCATCTTCTCTTCTCAGGGCTAAACATGCCCGATTCTTTCCATCTCTCCTCATCAGGCTTTGTTTCCAGTCCCTGGACCATCCTGGTTGCCCTTCTAGCTTGTCTGCATCTTTATTAAACTGTGGTACCCAGAACGGGACACATTACTCCAGATGAGGCCTAGCGAGTGCTGAGCCAAGGGGAACTAGCGCTTCACGGGATTTGGAAATGACACTTCATTTAATGCAGCCTCCAATAGCATTTGCCCATTTTGCAGCCGCACCGCATTGACAATTCACAGTCAGCTTGTGATCTGCAACGATCCCAAGATCCTTCTCACTGGCAGGATTGTTGAGCTGAGATTCCCCACCCTGCAGCCATGCATCTGGTTCTTTTCTCCTGGACGCAGAGCTCGGCATTCATCCCTCCTGCATTTCATTCTGTCGTCTTCAGCCCAGCACTCCAGCCTATCCAGATCCTCTCTCTGTCTCCCAGAGTATTAGAGAGCCCACCCAGTTCTGTGCCATCTGCAAATGACCATGGGGCGTCCTTTCAGTCCATCCTGTGCAGCTTCCCTAACTCTGATGAGCTAATTTAACTCTCGCAGTGGGAGATAAAATCAAGACTCGACTGAGCGCTGAACCAACAGAATCAAACTTCCTGACGCAGATTCTACCAGGTCCCGCCGCTGTCTTCTCTCTCAGGAACATGTTCAGCTGCACGCCCTGGGTAGAAATGCACCCGGTGACGCCAGCTTTCCCCCTGCCCGGGAGGCGCGGCGGCGGGGGCGTGGACAGCGGGAAAACGCCTCCCCGCCGCTTGTTGGGAGGCCAAAAGGTGGGGGAGCGGGACAACCAAGGGAGCCACGTTGTTTCGCATCTACGAACCAAAATGACCCTGGCGGTGCATTGTTCCGCAGACGGGTTCTCGCTGGGCGGATCGGCAGGGCAGGGCGGAGAGCCAGAGCGACCTCACCTGCGTTGTAGAAATGGTCCAAGGTGTCCGTGTCCCCCAGCATCACGGTGCCAAAGGGCACCGTCGTCAGCTCGGCCGCCGGCACTTCCTTGCACGCCTCCCGCAGGCACTGCAGCGGCGGCGGCTCCTCCATGTCCTCGGTGGAGACGTAGACCACGCTCAGGGCTCGGTCGCGGCCGGCGCCGCCGCCGCCGCCTCCCGCGCGGGCGCCCTGCCCGCCCGCGGTGACGGGCTTGCTGGGCGTGAGCGCGATGGCCCAGGGGTCCTGCCACAGGCTGCCGGCGCCCCCCAGCGCGCGGCTGTCCCCCTCCATGGCGAGCGCCGCCGAGCTCAGCGGCCGCCGCTCCGCAGGCCACGCATCGCGCCGGCGCCCCGGCTCACGCGCGGCGCCGCGGCTCTGGGGCGCCCGCGTGCAGCGCCAGGGAAGCCAGGTACGCGACGGCGGCGGTTATTTATCATCTCCCAAGTTTGGGCAAGTTCGCCCCACGTGGGAAGCAAGCGCCGCCTCGCGCGAAACTTCCTGCGCCCGTTCCAGCGGTGGGTGGGTCCCGCGGCGGCTGGCTGCCGGAGGCCGCGCGGTCCCGCTCCGTCCTTCCTCCTCGGGTCCGGGAGGGGGCGGGCGGAAGCGCGCCCGGCGCCCTGGAGCCGCCCGGCGGGAAGGCCCGTGGCGTGGCGGGG